CCACTGCCCTCTCTGCAGAGCATTTACCACCGCAGGGTGCGTAGGAAAGCTGCCTCCATCCTCAAAGATCCCACCCACCCCCAGCAAGGACTGTTTACTTCTCTGCCCTCTGGCCGTAGGTACAGAAGTGTAAAATGCAGGACCACTAGACTGAAAAACTCTTTCTTTCCCTCTGCCATCAAACTCCTAAACAGCTGAGGAGTTTATTACCAGGAAAAACGTGATGTACTGTTTACATTCTCAGTTTGCACATGCATAATTGCGCAATGACTGTTGTCTGCTGCACATGCTGCTCCCATGCAGCATAAATTCTCTGTTATATTCTTATATATATATTTTTTTTATTATATTGCTGCATTTGCTGCTTAAAGTGCCTTAAATTTTGTGTTACTTATTTATCTACTTTATATTTCATTTGTATTTTGTGACATTCATGTGGATGAAAAAGTAAGAATTTCATTGTACAGGGAAACACGTTTCCTAATTGTGCATATGACAAACACTTTAACTTGAACTTAAACTCTATTCTCTGTGTGCACACACACTGATGACATGACATGACATGCAGGCAGACACACCTGCAGGTAGTGAAAGGATCTCTCCTTCAGCTTGCTCTCTATTGGCACCAGAGCTTTGTCATAGCCTCCTCCCCTGGTGGAAGGGTACACCTCCCTGGCCTGGCTCACTGTCATAGCTGACCAGGTGCTCCTCTTCAGGGAGTGGCTGTGGTGTCCCCCTCCTTCACTCCCAGGCAGAGCCATTGTGGTACAGGACATGCACTCTCCTGGCCCCTGCCCACTGCCACGCTCCTTTGGTTTCTTCAAGGTGAGCTCCTGGATGGCAGCGTCCAGACTCTCGTGTCCGCTGGGATACCCTCGTCTGCCTCCACTCACCAGGAAGCTGCTGTCGCTGTCCAGGTTGTCGTCAGAGCTCCACCAGCCCACTGTCCTGCTGCGGTGGCGTCTGCCTGACTCGTGCCGTGAGTCTCCACTCTTGCTACGCTCTCGAGACTTGTTCCTCCTGGTAGAGCGAGACTGGTGGCCTGAATAGTGACCTCCACCATCCTCCCCTCCACTCCTGTGACCTCCTCTGTCTCCACGGTAGTCCCCACCACCTCTTGTGCCATTGTATTCCCGTTTGGATGGTGCTTCTAGGGAATGGGACTTGGCAAAGAGTCGTTGAACAGAGTTGACTAGGTGTCTGATACGAGAGGGACTTTCACTGCGTTGCTCGGCACCTCCACTAGCAGTGCGTTGGTACTGCAGTGTGTGGAAGCCATCGGGATGAAAGGGCACCTGCTTTTCAAACTGGTCCATCAGATTTGGGGGAATGTGGCGCATTTTCCCTCCATGACTCGAGGACAGACACTCCTCACAAGAGTCAAATGACTGAACAACTGGGTGCTGGCTGGGGTGGGAACGAGGGAACGTGCCCCCTCCAGAGTGGCTATGGGCATGGGAGTGGGAATGGTGCCTCTCCAGTGCCAGAGCCTCAGCTGGGTAATAGTGGCCATCACTGTGACTGTGGTAGTAGTCTCTGCCTGGGCCATCGCAATCATCAGGTGTGCAATGGCAGGGGCCTCCTCCACCACCACCAGAGGAATGTTGGGACATGCTACGGCTGACATGGTACCCTTTCATGGGCGCCGCAGCGTGGCGGGCCGTCCGGGCCGAAAGGGGGCGCTGTGGGCGTGACAGGGTTGCTTCGGTCTCACCTGAAGGTATAAGAGAAGTCACCATTTAGAGAAGACCAACACAGTGTACTCATTTTATCATGTAACTGATAAATGATGAGCAAGTGTTTCTAATCAGTGCCATCAACTTTTCTGTTACCTCAGTGGTGGTAGAAAAGTCCAGCATTCTAAACAGGCAAGTAAAAGATTATACAGTATTTGAGAAACAATCTTTTAAAAATATGATTCAGAGAGAGCACAGGTGCAAATAATGTGTCTGAGTGTAATTCATAGTATTACTTACAAATTTATCACAACAAAAAAGAATATACTGTGCAGATATTTAGATTTTGTCCTATAAAGTGACACAATAAATTGAAAGTGGAAACAATTTTTTTTTTCTTTATCTGATGAATATTTTTATTGATACTACACTTCATTTTTTGCAAAACTGAAAACAAACAGTGCAATAGTGAGCATTCATCCCCCAGAGTGTAACAAGGGGCTACAGACAGCTTTCTTCTCATTCATTTCAGAGGGCGCTGGGCTGATAAATCAAGAATATTAGGCATTCTATCTCTCTTGTGGTGTCCCATTTAGCACCTCTTGCTCCTCTCTCCCATTTATTGTTATATTCATCAGCCCAGCACCTCTTATTGTCTGCCTTTTTTTCCTCCATCTGTGACATCAGGGAGTCCCTGAGCATTCACATGATTTACAGCTGTGGAACACAATGTGTTTATTAATCACCTGCATCCTAATGCACAAGAAAAAGAAAGCAGAGGTGGGTGTCAAAGCGCATTCACAAATGTCTGTACTATCAATTAAAGAGCAATTTCCCTCTGTCAGCTAAACAACAACCTGAGTCATTATATCCAGGTGACAGGGCAGAAACCAATCCTGTGGAAGCCTCCAAAGAATAAGAGTGCAGCAAATGAAACCCAGGAAATGGCCGTCCCTAGTAGGGTACTGGTTAAGGCGCACCGCTGCGCCCTGGGTTCGAATCGGTTGCGTCAGGAAGGGCATCCGGCGTTAAACACGGGCCAAATGTCAACATGCGAGTCATCAGTGTGACGATTCGCTGTGGCGACCCCTAAACGGGAAAAGCCGAAAGTGAATTTCTTTCTAAATGAAACCTGGAAATGAAATTGATATATTTCTTTCAAGCTGCAGCAGGCATGTGGCACAACGTTAACTTTTTCACCCACAGACTATAGTTGTTACTCAAAGTAAAATTAAGCAGATGGAAATAGAGTGAAGCCTATCTTTGTATTGCCTTTCTTTGCAGTAGAAGGATAACAACCAAGATTATATTCGTAATGTAGTAATCATTTTATTTGAAAAGCATTAATTTCTGCTGCTGCAATCGCATTGCCTGTTTGTAATGCACAGAAGCATTTCTTGTCATTTTTAGATTTGATTAACCTGAGATGAAATTACTTGATGAAAGCCAGAATCGAGCTGCTTGGCTGGATGGGGTTCACTGAGCTCCTGTGAGTGTATTTGTGCTTGTGTTTGCCAGCTTTCATGCAGAGATGAGAGATAGGGAACAGATGCTCGGATAATCATTAAATAGAGCATAGCCTATTTGCCTTGATCGGCTGAATGAGAGCCGCCACCCAGGAAGCACACCCACATCTAGTCATGTCATTGGTGTAGCCGTGACGACAGGTTTCAAGTCAGGGTGGACAGATTTCAGACAACAGTGGCACCTGAATGGCCTGGGCTGCCTCTCATTATCTGTGTGTGAGTTCCAAAAAATCTGCCCAACCAAATCATGTTTTTTTTTTAATTTCTGCTGAATTTTTCCTGCTTTTCTCACAAATTATAAGAATTTAAAGTTTGAAATTATAATTTGAATTCTTCTGACTTTTTGTGCGAGAAATGAAACTACTGTGCAAATATATTTTTTTCCAAAAAAAAAAAAGACATAGAAGCTTCAAGCATCTGACATTTCACATGGCAGCAGTTAACTTGCATTTGAAGGCAGTCAGTGTCAGTAGCACTCCAGTAGTTCTCAAATCCTTACTTACTTTAAAAGTACTAATGCCACAATAAAAAGTAAAAGTACTATATTTAAGTATGGATTAAGCTGCAACCGCCAAAGCTGAGAAATGAAGCCAATGCAGAATTGTTAAAACATGCAGTTCCTCAAATGGTCATTTGAGGCTGGCTCCAACAGGGCTCCAATCCCCGTAGACTCCCATGTTAAATAGCGCAACTTTACAGCAGAAATAAACATTTTTACACCCTCATACAAAAAACAGTTCTGATCTCTATAACTTGGTGAGAAAGAGATTTATTTATTTATTTATTTATTTATTTTTTGCAGTGTGTCATACTAGTATGCTTGTATCCCTGTTTATGAATAAACAGCAAAATGAGTAGTGTCGCTCTGCCTGGAGGAGTAAATTAAACTGTGTTGTGTTTATTATGAAGGCTTTGGCTTTGGAGCAGGTTGCTGACTAGGAGCTGTCAATCACAGTGATATACACAGACACATTCGCATGTGTGGTTGTGCGTGGATGCGTTTAAAAGACAGCCACACACAACATTCAGCAGTAGTAAAGGTGCAGCTGAATGTTGGCTCAGTCTTCTCTAATTCATTCTCTCTACTCATCTGTCCATATCTCTCTCTTCTCCTGACCTACTTGTATCCATCCTCCATTCATGTCTCTTCCTCCACATGCACTCTTCCTTTGTTTTTTTTAACCATTCAGTTCTTATGGCTCTTATGTACATAAATAAGATACATAATACTAACGCATACTAGATAAGGCAAAAATAAACAGTACTAATAATAGTGGATAGTAGGACCTCGCTAGCTGTATTTGCATTAACAGAGGGTGGGACATACAGTATGTTCATATCACAGTAGTGAGCATTATATATATTTACTATTTGATTTAACACAATCTATAGTACTACTGTCTTTGTTTTACTCTGCATCTTTTTATTTTCTATATTTCCAATCCTTTTTGGACACCCCAAACACACACACATCCTCTGTGTAGGCAGAAATATTCAGTAGCGGCTCAGGAGGGAGTTGGAGCTGTACAGCATGCTGTCATTGTTTAACACTACTTGGCATCAACATGATTATTACAGAAGCTTCATTCTGGAGCTGTTTCAGTTGAAATATTCATGTGATCATCCCAGCTGCTCTGACCCTCTTTGGTAACAGCTGAGTCTGCCTGCTCTCTGACTTGTGGGGGTTGGTGGCTGTTTCACAGTGAAATTCTGTCCATTCATTATCTGAAATACCTAAAATGAGATAGATAGATAGATAGCAGACAGGATAGCTCAGTGGGTAACACTGACTTTGGTACAGAAGGTCGGGGGGTTTGAACCCCGGTCAGGGCACGGTCAATATCCCGCCTGGGTCCTTAGGCAAGGCCCTTAATGCTACCTGCCTACCTCATGAGTTGGAAAAATAAGAGTCATACCAGCTCGGATGTCGCCCAGGTTGTTGAGGAACCAGGGCAACTTGATGAGATGTGGGCTATTGGAACAAGACATTCATGGACAAGAGAGAAGAACAGGGAACTATTGGAATGCTACTATACAAGTAACCCAAGTGAGAGGGGTTACATACGAAGGATGTGGGACCTATGGATACTTCAAAACCCAACATCTACACTAACTAAGTAGCTCAGTGCTCTAACATCCGCAAGAAGCACCTGCTATCACAACTAGAGAGTGACAAGGTACAACACAAATGCTCCAGCAAGGGGGAGCCAGGACGACAGGTCAGGGGGGAGATATCGTCATCATCATCACCCCCACAATCGGAGATTGGGTACCAAGCCCCAATAACAAGCCTGGATGAGCTTGATTCAAGAGCAGCTGAACTGAGATTGAAGATCATGAGCAAGATAGACACCTGGAACTCCCGTGATTGGTTACCAGACTAAGTGAAGTGCCTTCTGAAAGTGTACTAGAGGATGTGAATTCAGCAGACTAAGAACAATCCCTACTACGACCATCACTGAGACCAACAAGCTCATATACAACACAGCAACCATGATCCTTGAGATGCTTGGCTATAAGTTCAACAAATGACACAAGGAGCAGTATCCTCCATGGAGAAGGAGGTTGGAGACCAAGATTAAGGCACCAAGGAGAGAAGTTAGCCAGCTATCAGAATTGCAGAAAGGTGTGATGAAGAAAGGGGTACCTAAGAAATGGCCTTAGAGACTGCCAAGCAAAGGCTGACAGCCCTGGCCACCCGGCTGAAGAGGTGCACCAGAGAAGTTGAAGCCAGGAGAATAAACTGGATGGCTCAGTGGAGAACATTCAAGGTGTACTCTCAGTGGCAGGGCAATAACATGAGAGCAGACCCACCAAGGCTGGAGACTGAACAATTCTGGAAGAGCATATGGGAGAAGGAAGCATCACATAACAACAATGCCCAGTGGCTGGTGGTGCCTAAGAGCAGACCACAGCAACCTCCCTGATACAAGACCCAGTAATCATCACAATGGCAGACATTCATGAGAGGGTATCAAGTATGAAGAGCTGGACCACACCAGGCCCTGACATGATCCACACCTACTGGTTAAAGAAGCTAACTTCACTCCATGAGTACCTGGCAGGACAAATGAACCAGCTACTAATGGATGGAACCCACCCTGAGTGGTTAACTGAAGGCCAGACAGTCCTGGGTTAAAGAAGCTAACTTCACTCCATGAGCGCCTAGCGGGACAAATGAACCAGCTACTAATAGATGGAACCCACCCTGAGTGGTTAACTGAAGGCCGGACAGTCCTGATCCTGAAGGACCCTCAGAAGGGAGCAGTACCATCCAACTATCGGCCAATAACCTGCCTCCACAGAACATGGAAGCTTCTGTCAGGCATCATAGCTAAGATGAGCAGGTACATGGCTCAATACATGAGCAGCACCCAGAAAGGAATTGGTAGTAACACCAGAAGAGCAGTAGCACCAGCTACTGGTTGATAAAGTAGTCACTCGAGACTGCAAGACCCGGCATACCAACCTGTGCACTGCATTGCACAATTCAACATCAAGTGCGGTATTTA